CATAAATACAGTCACAAACAACTCTCAAAGGCAACAACCTCATGGGTGTATACTGTCACATCCTCAGAACAACACTCATGGACCCAACTCTACAACAACAACCACATGCTCTGACACAGACACACCTTCCCTAACAACAGCTCCAGTCTTGGACATAGACGTGGTCTCTTGGGTAACTGCCATACATATACTGTCAGAGGCAGCAGTCATCAATGACAGTAGCCACACCCTCATGCAGACACACAGTTCAAAGACAACAGCTTCTTGCTCAGACACACACTCACAGGCAACATTCCCTAACACACACTCACAACCACTCTCACACATAGATACCCTTCAGCAACAATCTTTGAGGACCTGCACTGACAGACAACAACCACACTCTTGGACATAGATCCCCTCACGGCCAGCCTGCACAGACACATACTCTAGGAAACAACCATTCTCAGACCCACGTCCTTTTGTACAGCCTTCAGAAATACACACACTCACAATAGTTGCATGCTCAGCTCTGGACACCCTCACAGGCACCATTCAGGAACACCACCTGCATACTTGCTTGCACATGCACATAGTCCCCATCTGCTGGTGCTCTGTCCTGTGTGTGCCTTCACCCTCTTCCTGGGACTGCCACTATGGCTTGTCAGTCAGTGAAGACTGTCTTAGTCAATGAAGACTATCTTAGTAACTGGCCCCCTCCACCCTCATCCCTACCTCTGACAGTCACAGGTGCACACTGCCCCAGGTCTCCTGCCTTAGACTAGACACAGTTGTTAGAGGGGTGGTGTCTCTGGGGCACAGAGACAAGCCCTTGTTCTCCATACCCTCTGCCTTGGCTCTGGACCTCAATCCTGGACCTTCTAAGACCCCCACACATTGGACCCATGCTCCACACATTGGACCCATGCAACTCCCAACTCCTGTTCCCTCTGACCACCTCACCCCCTGACCTCATTCTTGTAAAGTCGTTGACCTCATGACCCTGGCTCTGTGCCCTGTAATCCCAGGGCCTTCCAATGCCTTGACTTCCCATTACTTTGGATCCTCATGATTCTAGACTGTCACATTCCCAATCTCCAGACCCCTAGAAGCAGTGACCCCTATCCCAGACCTCCCTACCCCTTAGCGCCATGTCTTCTGACTCTTGCACTCCCTGCCTTACATCACCCCCTTTCCCTGTCACTGCTGCTGGTCCTAGTTCCCTGGTCATGTCCTCTAACCCAAGAACCCCCTAAACCTACTCCCTTGTTATCTCACCCCTTGCTCCCTGAGCTCTGTGTCCATCCTCCTTGACCCCCATGCTTCTGACCCTGGCCCTTGACCACTCCCTGCCCTGTGTCAGCAGACGGGGCTGGCACAATGAACAAGTTAAGGCAGAGCCTGCGGCGGCGGAAGCCAGCCTACATGCCTGAGGCATCACGCCCGCACCAGTGGCAGGCAGACGAGGACGCGGTGCGCAAGGGCACGTGCAGCTTCCCAGTCAGGGTGAGTGAGCAGGGCGCGGGCGGGGGTGGGGCGCATGCGTGCCCCAGTTGGGTGAGGCGGTTCTGTCCTGTGTGGTGGAAACAGCGCGTCCACAAAGAACTGTGAGCCTGCCGAAGCGTGACCCCACTGCCTGAGTGCTTCAGAGTCGGGATTAAAAACCTAGCCCTGGCGGTGGTGTGCAGTTGTAGGTGCTCCCAAAGGTCCCTGGTTGGATCCCCCTTGGCTTGTCTGCTAGATCCCCAGTAGGGGGCGTGTAGGAGGCAGCAGGTTGATGTTTCTCACATCGATGCTTTTCTGTCTCTCTTTCTCCCTCTCTCTCTAAAATCAATAAAAACATATTTTAAAAAACTGCACGCATTCTCTTGTACCAGGGAAATGTTACCTGGGGGACGACATGCTGGGTCACCCCACTTTGTGGGAGCTCACAATTTCCAGAGGGCACTGGAGAGTCACAAAAGTTTTGTAGCATTTGCAAATCCTTCTATGACCCTTTACAACCCACACTACACATTCATAAGGGAGACAGCAGGTTCAGGTTTAAATACCAACTTGGTCCATCCCCCTAGGTGCAGACCAATAGGAGGAATGGGGAATGCTGGTGGGAGTGAGGAAGGGAAGACAGCCAATCAATGGTGTGTTACTAAATTGCAGCTGTGGGCAACTGTGCTTCATGCCCCTGGGGACTCTGGGAAATAGAGCCATCTACCCACAAGGGGAGGGAGCTAGAGCATGTGTACCCCAAATCCCATCAGTTATTGCTGGGGCCAGTCCTCAGGCTCAGATGCAGATGCTGGCACTCAGGACAAGAATGATGTTGTTAAGGCCCAGGGATAGAGGCAGGATGGGAATCACTACCGCACACTCTCGTTTGTATATTTGGGATGGGAACGCGGTACCCATCTTGTAGAGCTGAGGTGCAGAGTAAATGAGTTAATACATATGTTGTGCTTAGGACATTGTGTAGTGCATCGAAGCTGCTCAGGGAACACTAGGAATTATTGATTACTCTGCTTATTTCATGTCCTCCTGTTTCCTCCCTCCAAGTACCTGGGTCACGTGGAGGTGGAGGAGTCCAGGGGGATGCACGTGTGTGAGGATGCTGTGAAGAGGCTGAAGGCGGTGAGTGAGGGGCTGGCGCAGAGAGGGGGCAAGGTCAGACTGGAAGAGGCAGCCCTCATCCGGCCCTCTATTCTCACCTCCCCCCCAGATGGGCCGGAAGTCCGTGAAGTCGGTCCTGTGGGTGTCAGCCGATGGGCTCCGAGTGGTGGATGACAAGACCAAGGTAGGAGGTCTTTAGGGTTAGGAGAGGGCACCAGAGTGCCCCTCTCCTCATCCTGCTCAAATGGGGCTGAGGATGCTTTCCCACCCACCTCTAGGATGTCCCTCCCTCAGAGACCTTCTAGACAATACCATGTGCTCCTGCAACATCATGGCACACCCCAGTCATAATTCAAGATTGAGTCCTGTGGTTATTTGTGAGCTGGCATAGATAGTGGGTAAGAGCACAGACTGTGGAGCAGCTGCCTCAGCTCCGATCCCAGCTCACCCACTTACCAGCTGGGTGACCCTGGGTATGAGATGTTACCCTTCTGGGCCTCAACTGTGTCATCTTTAAAATGGGGATAATAAAGACCCTGCCATTACCTGAGAAAGTGTATCACATAGTTTAAAACTGTGCCTATGTCAAATGAAAAATAATACCAACTAGTTGTTTTGTCCCAAAAAGGACTTATTGGGGTAAAGGAAAGGGTTGCAAACCAGTGCATGCAGACAAAAGAAGCCACATGCACACTCTGGCCTGCGTGCCAAGATTGAGGGCTATTTATAGAAGGGAAAAGGAAGTTAAGGGAAGAAGTTAGAACATAGAGCTTTATTATAAACACTAGAGGCCCGGTGCACGAAATTTGTGCACAGGTGGGGTCCGTAGGCCTGGCTGGTGATCAGGGACAGGCCAATCAAGGCCCAAAGGCCCCAGCAGGGTTGGGAGAGGAGGCAACGGTTAGGCCGTGCATGGAAGGAACGGACACCTGACACCGGTGCTGCCACCACATGGTTCCCTGCCTCTCCCCCTCCTCTTTCCCTCACTGCTGCACCACCACCTCAGTGGGCAGCTGGCTGATTGGGGCCTGCTGGCCGGTGGGGGGAACAGGGTATGGGAGGTTGGCCACTGGCCCTGAGGAGGCAGCCAGCCCTCAGCCCCCCTGGGAAAGGGGCCACGTCTGCCGCCACCCACCCCCAGTTCCTGGTCCCAGCCAGGGGCCCAATCACCCGATAGCCTTATCGGGGCCTGCCGGCCAGGTGGAGGAACCGTGGGAGGTTAGCTGGCTGGAGGAGGTTGGCTGTGGGAGCACATTAACCACCAGGGGGCATCTCCTGCATTGAGCGTCTGCCCCCTGGTGGTCAGTGCACGTCATAGCGACCGGTTGTTCTAGTCGCTTAGGCTTTTATATATGTAGATAGGGTTCTCCCTTGTAGGGTTCTTGTGATTACATAGAGTGTGAGAACTTCCATAAGCCCTAGCTCCTCCTATAGGCCCTCCCAACTTAGTATATTTGCTTAAAGCTGCTATTGGTCTTTATCACCTGGTACAGCAGAAGTGTTCAGATCAATGAATGTTAGCTGTTATGTGTTTGTTGTCAGTCTACCCAGCCAGAGAGGAGTGCCATGGGGCCAGGATCTGGGTGTCTGTTTGCTCGCTTTTGAATTCCCTGCCTCCAGCCCAGAGACCACCCGAGGAGGCAGCCAGCTCACAATGAGACTTAGTTTAATGACAGAAGAGTGTTGACACCTTGGCACAGGCAGTCCCTCAGCCTGAAATACTGTTCCCTGCCTTTTGCTTCTAGGAAGCGTTGCCTGACTGCACCGCCCAGATAGATCCAAGTTGGGTCAGGCACCTCCTCTTGGCTCCTGCAAGCCCCTGTGCCTCCCCCATCCCATCTGTGATCTCTCTGCCTGTACCTCCCTCATTACAGCCTGGGTTCTCTCCTGGTGATGGGTCTGGTTCTGTGATAAACTGGGGGCCCCATGCCATTAGGGTCCACAACAGAATGCACAGTGACTGCTTGGTGCCTACCCCAATCAGAATGGGAGATAGAGAGACACTAAGGGAATGTTGAATGAATACATGAAAGACAGTTCACATTCTTCTCGGCCTCCCCAACCACTCCCAGGACCTGCTGGTGGATCAGACCATTGAAAAGGTCTCCTTTTGTGCTCCTGACCGCAACCTTGACAAGGCTTTCTCTTACATCTGCCGTGATGGGACCACCCGCCGCTGGATCTGCCACTGTTTCCTGGCACTCAAGGACTCCGTGAGTATCGCCAGAGCCCGAAGCTGGCTGACTCCTCTCCCATTCCCCGGCATTCCAGCCCCTTCCCGGGCCTGCCGTTCACCTCTCCTCTCCAGGTCTCGCGCCACCAGGGGGCATCTCCTGCATTGAGCGTCTGCCCCCTGGTGGTCAGTGCACGTCATAGCGACCGGTTGTTCTAGTCGCTTAGGCTTTTATATATGTAGATAGGGTTCTCCCTTGTAGGGTTCTTGTGATTACATAGAGTGTGAGAACTTCCATAAGCCCTAGCTCCTCCTATAGGCCCTCCCAACTTAGTATATTTGCTTAAAGCTGCTATTGGTCTTTATCACCTGGTACAGCAGAAGTGTTCAGATCAATGAATGTTAGCTGTTATGTGTTTGTTGTCAGTCTACCCAGCCAGAGAGGAGTGCCATGGGGCCAGGATCTGGGTGTCTGTTTGCTCGCTTTTGAATTCCCTGCCTCCAGCCCAGAGACCACCCGAGGAGGCAGCCAGCTCACAATGAGACTTAGTTTAATGACAGAAGAGTGTTGACACCTTGGCACAGGCAGTCCCTCAGCCTGAAATACTGTTCCCTGCCTTTTGCTTCTAGGAAGCGTTGCCTGACTCCACCGCCCAGATAGATCCAAGTTGGGTCAGGCACCTCCTCTTGGCTCCTGCAAGCCCCTGTGCCTCCCCCATCCCATCTGTGATCTCTCTGCCTGTACCTCCCTCATTACAGCCTGGGTTCTCTCCTGGTGATGGGTCTGGTTCTGTGATAAACTGGGGGCCCCATGCCATTAGGGTCCACAACAGAATGCACAGTGACTGCTTGGTGCCTACCCCAATCAGAATGGGAGATAGAGAGACACTAAGGGAATGTTGAATGAATACATGAAAGACAGTTCACATTCTTCTCGGCCTCCCAACCACTCCCAGGACCTGCTGGTGGATCAGACCATTGAAAAGGTCTCCTTTTGTGCTCCTGACCGCAACCTTGACAAGGCTTTCTCTTACATCTGCCGTGATGGGACCACCCGCCGCTGGATCTGCCACTGTTTCCTGGCACTCAAGGACTCCGTGAGTATCGCCAGAGCCCGAAGCTGGCTGACTCCTCTCCCATTCCCCGGCATTCCAGCCCCTTCCCGGGCCTGCCATTCACCTCCCCTCTCCAGGTCTCGCGTCCTCATCCAGAAAAGGGGCTGTACTCCGAGCTCCTAACTTACAGGATATTGTAGACTTGAGTAGGTTAATACCAGGATGTAGAATAATGACTGGCACATGGGAAACACTCAGGAAAACACTGGCTACCATCCTCCTTATTATCAGTAGTTCTTCATGTTTCTCTGACTTTTCTAATTGAGGACCATATACATACATGTGCACTCCTTGTCCAGCCCCATGAATTTTTGTTTATGGATATGCCCCACCCAGGTCAAGTTTGGCTCCTACCCCCAGCAGGCTCCCTCAGGCCCTTCTCAGACAATTTCCCTTCCCCACTCTTCCTTCAGCCTTGATTCATTTTCCCTGTGTTTCTTTATATTTGAGGGGGTCAAGGTCCCCTCTGAGAATCAGATGAAAGCATCAAATGGGCTGTTTTCTCAGTAGTATTCTCCCAGTGAGGATTCTGAGGCTTGTAGCAGAAACCCCAGACACCAGGGATTTCAGTGAAATGGAAGTTTCCTTCTGTTTCATGGGAAAGACCCAGAGGCAGGCCATGCAGCACGGGTGTGGCTCCCCTCCACTCAGCAGGGCCACAGCTCCTTCTGTCCTGTTGCCGAAGGAGAGCTCCACTTCCTGATCCAGGATGGATGCGCACGCTCCAGCCTTCACATCTTCCTCCCACCGCAGCATGGAGAGGCGGTGAAGAGGGCATGTCCTCTCCTTTCTGGGAGCTGCGCATCATTTCTAATTGTATTCCACTGGTCAGAACCTAGTCACATGGACATCCCTACCTGCAAAAGACAGTGGAAAATAGAGCCTTTCTTCTGCCCTGTCACCCGGACCCTGAATTCAGTCCCCCACCCACAATCTCAGCCTCCTACATTAGCCAGTTCTCTGGTTGCTGGCAATAGAAACCAATCTGGCTAACTTAAGCCTAAAATAAAATTCTTGGAAGGCTTTGGGAATCTCACAAAATCGAAGGGCAGTCAGAGCAGTAAGTAACAGAAGGGCAGAGAGCGGGACATCCTGGGGACGTGGCAACGGGACAGTTCCTTCAGGGAACCATTGTGAGATGAACCCAACTCCCAAAGCTTTGGGTTCAAATTCTGATGAGAGGGCATGGGATTGGCCTGGCTTGGGTCACCGTTTTCCCCTTGGCCAGGGGAAGGGAGGGCACCCAGATTGCTTTATCCAGTGTTGTAAAGGAGTTCCCCAAAGGGGATTCTGGGGTAAACTGGACAAGTAAAATAACGCCTGTACCTTGCAGACCTTAGCAGTCTCCACTCAATGATTCCTTCATATTTCCGAAATTCCCACTGCACAGAGCTCTGAGCCCCCGAAACGAGTCAATACCCCAGATTTCCTCACACACACAATTTTAGACCTGAAACCAGGAGTAAGGAAAACAAATTTGAGGGTGTCAGTATTGATTAGTCAGTACTAATTGGGGCTAGTACTGCCAGGGACTAGCATGGAGATATTTGAAATACAGAGCCCATAGCAACTGCTATTTCTGGAGAAATAGCAGAGTAGTTGTATCAGTTATCTGTTGTGCGTAACCAATTTCTCCAAAATTTAGCGACTTAAAATATCAATCACTTATAATGCCTCACGGTTCCGTAGGTCAGGAATTTGGGAAAGGCTCAGCTGAGTAGGTCTGCCTCCAGGATCTCACACAGTTGCAATCAGGTGGTGTGTGGAGCTGTAGCACCAGACCGGCCGGACATCGCTCTCTTCATGTAGTCACAGGGTCTCTCCACAGGGTCTCCGGCATGGAGGCTTCAGAAAGCTGGATTTCTTACACAGTGGCACAGGGCTCCAAAACAAGGGGTGGGGGGCGGGGGGAAGAGGGAGAGAAATTGCTTCAGCATAGTACTAGCCAGGAGGAAGCTGTGTTGCCTTTCTGGACTTGTTCATGTTATTCTATGTGTCCAGACAGTCATAGAGATCTTCCCAGACTCAGGGAAGAGGACGTAGGCCTCACCTCTGATGGGGTAATCACAGGGTCTGGAAGGGCATGTGGGGCCGGACATTTGTCACAACTGTTTTTTTGAAAATACACTGCCGTCTGGTTAGTGTGGATTTGGTGTCAAACCACCTGGCTTTGGGACCGTAGGCACAAGTGACCTCTCTCCAGGACTGTTTTCTCCTTATAAAATGGGGGGTCATAGCAGCACCTCCTCACAGGCTTGTTGGGGAAGCATTCTCATTATGGCCACACACAGGAAGTTCTCAACGGAATCTTCTGTCATCTGAAAACGAGTCAGGGATGAAAGTCAAAGCAAGAAAAGGGCAGGGCCATCTCCTCCGGGGAGAGTGTGACCTTGGGCGAATTCCTTCCTGCTTCTGAGCTTTGGGTTGTAAACATTAAGCAGTGGAATTCCCAGGATTCCCCAAGTTTAATTCTTTTTAGGTGAAATTTACATTAAATTAATAATTTTCAATTCAGTGGCACTTAGTACATTCACAATGCCGTTTAACCATCATTTCTATCTAGTTCCAAACATTTTCATCATTCCTCAAAGAGACCTCATACCCAGTAAGCAGTTACTCCCTGTAACACCCCTCCCACTCCCCTCCCTGCCCCGTCACACACAGTAAGCCTCCGGCAACCTCTAATCTGTTTTCTGTCTCTGAATTTACTTATTCTAGACATTTCATACAAATTGTATCATACAGTACATGGTCTTTTGTATCTGGCTTCTTTCACTTAGCATTGTTTACAGGGTTCATCCTTCTTTTTTTGGTCGAATAATATTCCATTGTATGGATTAGCCACATTTTGTTTATCTATTCATCCATTGATGGAAATTTGGGTTGTGTCCACCTTTGGGCTCTTGTAAATAGTGCTGCTATGGACATTTATGTGCAAGTATTTGTTTGAGAACCTCTTTATAATTTTGGGGGGTATATACCTAGGAATGGAATTACTGGGTCATAGAGTAAACTTATGTCTGACTATTTGAGGAATTACCAAATTGTTTTCCACAGTGACTGCACTATTTTACATTCCTGCTAACAATGTACAAGATTTCTAATTTCTCCAAATCCTCATCAACACTTATTTTTAATTTTTTGTTTAATAGTCATCCTAGTAGGTATAAAGTAGTTATCTCATTGAGATTTTGATTTGCATCTCCCTAATGACTAATGATGTTGAGTATCTTTTCATGTGTTTATTGGACATTTTTTTACCTTCTTTGGAGAAATGTCTTTTCAAATTCTTTACCCATTTTTTAATTGTATTTTTATTTATTTTTTTATTTTGTTAATCCTCACTGAGGATATTTTTCCATTGACTTTTAGAGAGAGAGTGGAAAGGAGGGGGCAAGACAGAAAGAAACATCGATGTGAGAGAGACACATCGATTGGTTGCCTCCCACATGCACCCTGATGCATTTTAAAGTTGCAGATACCTGAACACTTCCCCCATACTTCAGCATGCATACCATTAAGTAGAATTGGCGGGGATCAAGCTGCAACCGGTATGAGACCCTTTAGTCTGCAGGCTGACGCTCTATCCACTGAGCCAAACCAGCTAGGGCTGTCTTTTTATTTTTGAATTGTAAAAGTTATTCATATATTCTTTATACTAGACTGTTATCAATTTACAAAAATTTCCCCCCATCTGTGGGTTGTCTTTTCACTCTCTTGATAGTGTCCTTTAATAAACATTTTTTATTTTGATGAAGTTCAATTTATCTGTTTTTTTCTTTTGTTGTTTTGTGCACCCATTGTCATATCTAAGGACCCATGTTTCATTTCTAAAACTTCATGCTTTATTCTAAGAGTTTTATAGTTTTAACTCTTATATTTAGGTCTTTGATCCATTTTGAGTTAATTTTTGTAAATGGTTTGAGGTAGGGGTTCATCTTCATTTTTTTCCATGTGTTTATCTGTACTCCCAGCACCATTTGTTAAAGAGACTATCCTTTTCTCATTGAATAGTCTTGGCACCCATATTGCCAAGATAATCAATTGACTGTAAATATGTGGGTATATATCTGGGTGCTCAATTCTATTTAATTGGTCTGTATTTTTATCCGCTGCTTCATGCACACCTCCTGCTGGGATAGAGCCCATACCCCAGCATATGTCCAGACTGGGACTCAAACCATGACCTTCTGGTTCATTGGTCAATGCTCAACCAATGAGCCACAACAGCCAGGCAGTATGACACTGTTTTGATTACTGTAACTTTGGAGTAAGTTTTGAAGTTGAAAAGTATAATATTTTGTTCTTTCTCTAAATTGTTTTGGCTATTCTGGGTCCCTTGCAATTCCATATAAATTTTCCGATTAGCTTTTCCATTTCTGTAAAAAGTCCATTGGGATTTTGATAGGGATTGAATTAAATCTGTAGATCACTTTGGGAAATATTGCTGTCTTAACAAGGTGAAGTCTTCCAATCTATGAATACAAGATGTTCCATTTATTTAGGTCTTTGTAAATTTCTTCCAGCAATGTTTTGTACTTTCAGTATATATGTCTTTCATGTCCTTGGTTATATTTATTCCTAACCGCTTTGCTCTTTTAGATGCTATTGTAAATGAAATTATTATTTTTTAAAATTATTTTATTATTTATCCGTTTGTTTTTCAACATCTTTTTTTCTTTTTAAATCTTCACCTGAGGGTATTTTTCCATTGATTTTTAGAGAGAGTGGAAGAGAAAAGGAAAGACAGAGAGAAACATCGATTGGTTGCCTCCTGCATGCGCCCTGGAGCCTGCAACCGAGGTATGTGCCCTTGACCAGAATTGAACCCAGGACCTGTCTGCAGGCTGACACTCTATCCACTGAGCCAAACTGGCTATGGCTAAATAAAATTATTGTCTTAGTTTCATTTTTGGGTTGTTCACTGCTAGTGTAAAGAGGTATAACTGATTTTTGTCACTCTTGTATCCTGCAAATTTGCT